TGATCAATTTTCTACAGCCGACAAAAAATTCGTTAACTTGAAATAAATTCAAAAATAAATAGACATAATACGTCAAAATTATTTAACCAATTTTCTTGAATATATATATATATATATATATATATATATATATATATATATATATATATATATACAGTATGGGAAAACAAATATTCACACAAATACAAATTTTTAATTTATTGTATTTACAACTAAGGAATACACATACTTTTCATATAATTAACTGTACACAGATGCAATAACCTAAACATGCACAGAAATAGAAAAAATTGATTTAATCGAAATAAACTGCATTATCATTTTTTTTAATGTCTAAAAAAATATTCGTACAATACATCAAAGAATGCATAATCTTCATTTAATACTTTGTAGAATAGCCATTAACGATTTTCAAATTTTAGTTAGTATTTTATTCCATTTTTCTTCGCATATGGTTTTCAGATCCAGGATTTTTGTTTGAGCGCTCAACTGGATTTGAATTTTCAAATAACGTCACAGATTCTCGATTGGGTTTAAATCTGTGAACTGACTTGGCCATTTCAGGATATTTACATTGTTTTTAGTAAATCACTTCTTTGTAGATTTTGCAGTGTGCTTATGATCATTATCTTGTTGGAAGATCCAATCAGGATGAAGTTCAAGTTTTTCAACCAAAATCATTAAATTTGTTTGCAAAAAATTTTGATATACTGCGGCATGCATTCTACCAACTATTACTGATGTGTTGCCAGTACCTTTTGCAGAAAAAACATCCCTAAATTATTTTACTGTCACCACCAAATTTCATTGTTGGGAATGTGTTCTTTTGTTTTGAGGCATTGCCATCTTTCCACCATACGAGATTTCTAGAATTACGAACAAACAATTCAATTTTGGTTGCGTCTGTCCATAATACTCTTTCCCAATGCGATTTTTGCTTATCCTTATTTTCACGAACGAATTTCAATCTGGCATCGCTGTGTCTTTTCAATAGCAGTGCAGTTTTCAGAGGAGAGTGTGATTTTCGATTCTTCCTATGAATTTCATTGTTTATTGTCCTTTTAGTGACACAGATTCCTGATGAAAGCAAATCATTTTGCAACTCTTCACAAGTAACCATTGAATTTTGTTTAATTTGACGCATTAATTTCCTTGAAGATCTTGAAAAACATCTTCCGTGGAGCACCTGTTCTTTCTGTGGTTTTCAACAGCTTTGAGTTTTTTTTATACCTTGCAATGAGTGAACAAATGGTAGTAGATGGAATATTCAGGTTGTTTGAAATATTCCTTTAACTTTTACCTTCTTTCTAGAGGATAACAATCAGTTCTTTTTGCGAATTTGTCAATTCTTTACATCTTTCCATGATGATAAACTTCTTGCACAAATATCAATTACAGAATGTTCTGTTTGTATTTTGTAGGTTAAAAATAACTACTAACATTATTGGAACATTCTAGAATATTCCACTTGAACAATCTAGAATATTAAAGCAATTTAAATGTTTTGAAATCTGAAATTTGCATTGTACCAATACTTTTCACCATTAAAATGGATAAATGGTAGTTATTTCTATTAGATCAAAATTTGTTGCTTTCTTTATATTTTTAGTTATGCCTCTGTGTACAGTTAATTATATGACAGTATATTTAATGATTACTTTGAAATACAATAAATTAAAAATTTGTATGTGTACGAATATTTCCCCACCACTGTATATATACTAGCCGGTGTACATGACTGCAATTGTATAACCGCACCACCTGTATACCCGCATATCCTGTCTAAAAATGTCTGACGGCTTCCCCCTTTCATGCATCATGCGTTTGTATACTAAGCTACTCCCCACTCGTCTTCTTTACGGCATGTCCTTCGCAAGTGTTTAATTGTTCTTAATATTGGAGTCCCATAGATAAAAATTTCTTGTTTGGTCGGTGCTCGGGGTTAAATTTTTTCAATGTTTTAGATATTCAGTAAATTTCCTATGGTCGTAATAATTTCAAATAGTATGGCATTGTTCACAAATCTAATAATCAAACAAAATTAGGATGAAGCGTCAGAGCTTGATTCAACTGCAATTGTAAACGCATGAACTCCACCACCTCCTTGTTTACTGTAAAGCTTGGGTTAATAAGGGGTTCTTCGGGAATTTTTTTCTCTTTTAACGCTTCAATAATACTTCTCAAACAATCATTGAATCAAAGGTTATTTGAATGCGAATTTACGATTGAATCATGTGAAAAAACAATTGTCTAAATGGCAAAAGCCGATTTTGAACCTAGTTTGCCGCAGATTTTGTCTACTTAACTGAAATAATCAAAACCAAATATGTACGCAAGTAAAATTTGTGTGTCATATGTAATTTACATTGCAAATATAGGAAAGCATCGGATGAAAAACCAGGAAGTTATGCCTAAAAACGGGTTTTTTCAACATTTTTTCGTGATGTTTTTACCTTATACTCGAGGGAGCGAGCAGTACTAAAACTACTCTATCTTATTTCTTGCATGATGGCAATTTTTTGCGATGTGTTTGAAGAGAATGAGGACATAATTCAAGTTTTTATTTAAAGTAGTACAAAAAACTCGATTTTTTCACAGTTTTTGCAATTTTTTGTGCATAGCCAACGTCGTAGTAAAAAATACAATGCAGTCTACATAAACCTCGTAACATGCGCTATGTTTTGCATTAAGTGCAAAGAACAACAGTCCATCCAGTAAAAACTTTGTTTGCGTGTAACTTTGCCTTAGTTTTTGCAAAAAGTCGTACCCACCTTCAATTTTATCAATTGTTTTGCCAAACCCGGAGGGCTTGGAGATTGAAAAGTTGGTCTTGACCGTTAAAAAAAAGCATTAAAAATACGCTTGTGAAATTTACTGTGATTAACTAATCGAATGTGACTTACGCTAAATTCAAACTCACCGAAGAAAAATTTTAAGATGTTTATAATACTAATAACTAATCAGTGCATTGTATTATTAGCATCTTCTATGAATTCTCTTTACTTAATGGTTGCATATTAATTTGCCAAAGTAGTTTTGTATTTATGATCTGTTTTTTTTTTTTGGTTTTTTTTTTTTTGGTTTTTTTTACTGTTAAGTTTTTTATCAGTTTTTTAAAGGGGCCTTTTATTTCTCAACTACAAAATTTCATGTTTGTAGCTGACCGAGCATTTAACTAGTTAGCATTATGTTAAATTACCTCCCTAATTCTTTCGCTTTTACTTTTTTTGAAAGTTGAACGCCAGACTTCTATACATCTCACGAAATAATGTAACCATTTGTATCTGTCCATAATGAAATTGTCTAGGATTTATATGCAGAGAACTTCGTTTCATGACCTATATAATAAAAAATATAATTTCGGTGAGTTTGAATTTAGCGTAGGTCACATTTGATTGGTTAATCACGGTCAAGGCCACAAGCCTATTTTCAAGACTTTTTTTTTCTCTCGAGGAAAAAGAGGAAGTATTCTGCTTTTGGAAATTAAGATAATCGTTTATTCTCTAGTAGTATACCATCGCCGAAGGATACACATGTGTAGTTTTGAAATATAGTTATAACTGTGTATCGATTTTAATATCCTAAAATAATGTATAACTCTACTTTGTATTGAGTCCTTTTTTAAATTAAATGTTACAGACATTAGAATTATACTCCATTTGTTCTCATTTTACCTGGATATATATATATATATATATATATATATATATATATATATATATATATATATATATATATATTGATGCATGTTTCATTAAATAATATATACAAGTTTTGTCTATTTATTTTAAAAGTAAGTTCCTTTCATATTGTCTGATAAGCTTAATAACATTATCATTGAAGGACAAAAGGAAATCACCATATTGATACATGTTTAAATCCAATCTAATCTTTCGGCTTACATAAGCCATTATCAAAGATAATTTTCAATATATCAACCAATACACGGAACAATAATTATAGTCTATTTTTGATGCATGAAAAATTTCAAAGCAACGACTAACTAGTGACCACACGAGAGTGAAAACGAGAAGTATTAAGTATGGGAATCCATTGATATAAACCAATGGCTTCTGTTATCAATTATAGGCATTTAAGAATATTTGTGGAGATTTCGTAGTTTATTTTGTTCAGGTTAGGTTTCAACTGTTTTATGTATATAGCTTCAATAATTTTTAGTTTTTGTTTATTGTTTTCATGTTTAAGTATAGTTGTGTTTTCAACTAGGATTTTCCGGAATTGTGTATGCGGCCACGCATGTTGTTTTAAATGCCTAAAAATGTTTTAGTTATCATTCAAATTTAGAGTCAAGTGTTGTGAAAACGGGTTTGTGATGTGACCAACATAAATATTATTTAATCCATTGGATATACAATCTCTCAAAGGGCACTTGAATTTGTAAACTATGTTGGTTTTTTGATGAACAAATAAAATTCTTTCTTAGAAGTCTTAATACTAAGCAAATAGAAGTCTTAATACTAAGCAAATACTGCTTCAACTAATCCCAAACATATTAATCTCTTATATCGTAGAGAGTAATTATAAACAAGATGAAAATATACTAAAAAAATTAGTAAATACTAATATATCTACATCAGATCCTAGCATAAAAAATTAGGTTAATCATATACTACACTAAACCTAGTATGTCCAGCTTAATTGTTCGTAATGACTCTTCCCTGCTCCCCGTTAGGGATTTGCAAAAAAAAAACATAGTTTTCAATTTCAGTTTTCAGTAGTACAAGCTGCTCGCTCAAGTATGCCGAATTTTTCTTTATAAGGAAACGCCTAATATTACCATATATATATATATATATAATATATATATATATTGTAAGCAGTGAAGTATTTCAAGATACATGGTTACCACATTTTGGAGTTTATATTAGAATTTCTAATTCTATTTTAAAAAGTCATTGCTAGCAGAGCTTTGTCGAGCATCAAAGGTAACGTTATTGATTCATTATTTTACAAAATATGACACTTCTTTTTCAATACAGATGTGCTATTCCTGGTTTACCAAACGACACCTACGAAGTCCAAGATACGGACCACGCCGATCTGATCAAAGCCTATATTCCACAGTACATAGAAGATGGAGAGCGCAAATATAACAATTGTTATTTCTACAGCAATGAAACATTAGACGATAACGGAACAATTCATGCATGTAATTCTTGGGTTTATGACAAATCACAGTATCAGACATCAGTTACCAGTGATGTGAGTATCAATTCATTTCTTTTTCCTTTTATTTATTACAATTCGTCTTCTTGTAAGTGCCGTGACGATCATAGTTCTCCATAATTTTCTGTCCTTTTTTTAACTTTTTATACAAAGTGAAAACAGGAAAATTTTCCTACATTATTTCTTTCTTTGTTCCAATCATTTCTTATTTTCCTGTTGTTAATGTCTGCTTTCATTTAACATTTTGTTCCTTGTTCTTTTAATTGTTCCTTGTTCGTTTAATGTTTTTGACCATTTTTCATTTTTATTCTTTGTATTTACCTTTTCTTTTTGACCATTTTGATTTTTCTTTTGTTTTTTGTCTTTTTTTCTTTCTGTCCGTTTTTGATCTTTATTCCGCATTTCTAATTTTGATATTTGTCCATTTCTACGGGGTTTTTTTTGTTTCCTTCTACCGTTTATTCATTTCTATATATATTCATCTGTATCTCTTCTTACAGATCTTATAGTCATTCCTGTCTACCGTATTTGACCTTTGTTTCTTACTACTTAATTTGACCTTTGTTCCTTTCCACCGAATTTGACCTTTGTTTCTTTCTACCGTATTTCTTGGATTTATGACAAACTAGCAGTAGAGCCCGGCGTTGCCCGGGGATGTAACAGTAAGAGATAGATCAAGTATCGACCATCATAAAGACTGAAAAATAAAATTGACAAAGATTATTGTTTAAGGTTGACGGACACGCATGTCTTAGTTGTTTTTTTTTTTTTTTTTTTTTTTTACGAATTGGTCAAACTCAAACAAAAATATTGTTTTCATTCGTTATGAGTCTACAGATTGAATAGAATTTTATTATAAACAATTTTCTTATAAGTGGAATTTTTAAAGCATTCAGAATACACACACACAAACAAGCTGGGTTTTATAATAAGTATAACTCGACATGAGTTGTCCCCCTTTCATTCTCGTGATGATGCCTCTTAATCGTGTTTTCAAATTGATTTCGTGCAAAAACAATTGTGTTTTTCCAATTTTTGGCGCTGTTAGAACCACTGCAAGGTAATTTTACGTAGTCCTGTGAAGTTTTGTTGAAATCGGTTGAAAAATGTAGGAAACCCGATCCAGTATATAAACGTACACACACACACACACACACACACACACACAATCTGCGTTTTACAATAAGTAAGATCACAGTATTATACATCAGTTACCAGTGACGTGAGTATCATTTCATTTTCTCCTTATACTCATTACCGTTTTTCTTGTCTTTCAGGACGTTGACGATCATAGCTCTCCATAATTTCCTTGTATTTAATGTTATTACTATTTCTGGCAAAAGGATAATTCCTAGAAAATGAAAACAGGACAATTTTTCTACAATATTTCTTTCTTCGTGCCAATAATTTCTTATTTTCCTGTTGTTAATATCTGCTTTCATTTAACATTTTTTTCTTGTTCTTTTCTAATGTTTTTTAATCATTGTTCATTTTTATTCTTTGTATTCACCTTTCTTTGCTATCAACTTCAATCTTACTTTTCCACCGTATCGATCTTTGATCTTTTCTATTTTTGATATTTTTCCTTTTTGTCCGCTTTTAATACTTACCTCCCTATCGATTCTCATATTTTCCTTTCTATGAGTTTTATTTTTGTTTCTTTCTAGCATTTTTGACGTTTGTTCAATTCTGACTTTTTTGTCTTTATTCCTTTCTACCGTGTTTGACATTTCTTTCTTTCTATCGTATTTGACATCTGTTCACTTCTACAGTATCTGACCATTTGTCATTTCTACCGTTTTTTACCTTTACTCATTTCTAAAGTTTTCTTATCTTTATTCCTTCCTATTTTATTTGACGTTTGCTCATTTCGGTCGTTTTTGATTTTTTGTTTAGGAATGTTCTCTCACATATGAAATATTCTAATGTTAAATACAAATGAGGATCAATAGATGTAAAATGGTGAGTGTGTTGGACGTGTGAGAACTTCCCACCCTAACGATCCTATTTTTCTTGGTTTTGTTTTATCGATTGTGCCCTTACACTGACATAATATAGAATACCACCATTTTGGTTTAATAAAACAGGACAGTCTCGATGTAAGTCTTCGTTTACCCGATCAGTTTTATAGCAATAAACATCTGTGGTGGTGGGTCTCATAATGTATACCAGACCAGACACAAAGATAGGAAATTTGTGGGTTTAATCCTTGTTTTTGAGTGGGCGCTGATGTATCATTTTGCTATAATCTCTTTCAGTGTTTCTTTGTTTAGAGTGTGTCGTCTTCCAGAACGAGGCTTTTCGGATATATCATAGTTGACCGTTTTAAAATGTTTATGCCACAGCGGACATGTGCATGTCTTCATTGCATCCATATACACTGCACAAATGTTTTTAATGCTTTCGTAGCAGTACGAATCTTTCAAAGAGTAAGTCAAAGCAAATTATTTTATATTGTGATTTGTAAAAGTATCATCCAGGGGTTTAAACTCTGAAATACAACATAAATGGCAGACGTTTGAATTGATGAGATGATAAACTAATTCTAAACGCAATTTTCTATCATTCAACCTTGGTTCTGCCTTGGTTGATTGACCCATAATCCATAGTGATGAAATATGTAATTACATTCCGAACAATCTAATATACTTATCTTTGTATATTTTAATTATTTTTTACTCAGTTTATTCTTGCTCAAATCAAGTGAAAAGAACTGAAGCTTAGGAACACAAAGATGCGCCAATTTTCCGAATACAAAGTGCATTCCTACCTTAAATAAAAATTTAGCTCTATTCTAGGAGGAATTACGCAGCTATCTCTACCAGTAATTTTCCTTACGAATATATCAAAGGTTTTCTTTAATCCTAATCCTAAATTTGTCAATTAATTGCCAATAATTACCATGACAAATTAAAGTGTAACGGTAAGTGAGATTTGTGTATCGATTTTTTATCCCCGTTAGATGACAAGTGTATTTCCTTAGCTGAGTTCCCACACATCACGGAGCACATGGTTTGTGATGTCTCTATCAAGAGTAATATAATTACAGAAAAAGTAAATGAACACTAGCATGAATGCGACTTTGAAAATGATAAAGCAATTATTAGTTGAGCCTTTTATTTATACAAAACTACTATGATAAATATGTACTAATGATAAATTTTTGAAACTTTCTTTTAAACAGATGAACTTAGTATGCGGTCGTTCAATTTTCACTAGTCATGTGAAAACCGCCTTTTTTGTCGGAGCTTTTATCATGTTTTTGATTGGCGGATGGATTTCAGATAAGTAAAGGAAAACACATTTTTTTTTTATTTCATCTGTAATAATTTTCATCCATTCTTTTGAAACAACATATATAACTGCAAATTAGAAGAACAATAATGATTCATATGCGTAAATGACAAAAAATACGGCACCAGCACCCCCCCCCCTGGTATTTGGATATTGTTGACCAATTTTTAATAAAAAGAAAGAGCGCCGACTTACAACAGCTGAAAAATGTAACCTTCTCCTCAGTCAGTTATGTTCCATGCGTGATACACGCTTAGACACATAAGGCAGACTGACGAAGCAGATTTTTCCCCGCAGTAGGTTGCCATTTCTTTCTGCGGTAGACCAGTTGCCATCCAAGTCTATAGTACCCAGTCTGTCCCGCTATTTACCCATCGCTGGATGGAGAAGAATAGGATTCATACCTTTCCAAAGGGTATTAACACGTAAGTGAATGCAATGGATTCGACTGGAATTCGAACTCGACTCTCCGATTCCCAATCCGAGCAGCTATTCATTACTCCATCATGCCTAGAGGAGGAAATAGTGATAATCAGCATTCCATAACATGATGAACTCTAAAATCAAAGATTTCAAATGAAGACGCGAAAACAAATTCCTACTAGCCTAATTAAGATCACTAAACAATGACTAAATTAAATTCTATCAATGAATCTGCTAAATTTTATTCCAAATACTGAAATTTAGAAGGGAAAAATAAATGAGGTATAAGAATAAATAGAATAACAACTTCAAAATAATAAATAAATATAAAAACTAAATTTTCTGCTTCCAAATAACACAAAGCATTAACCCACAAGTAAAAGAACAAAATATTAATTTATATTTGTGCAGCAACATTTCCTTTCAACATGCTTCGTTAAATATGAAAGACAAGGAAAGTTGAATTCATTTTTATTTAGTTTTTTCCTGGGTTCTTACATTTTTGGTGTGAGTAAGGATGTGCAAAATTATCCATAGATAGATAGATAGATAGATAGATAGATAGATAGATAGATAGATAGATAAAGTAGAGACTGAGATAGATAGATAGATAGATAGATAGATAGATAGATAGATAGATAGATAGATAAAGTAGAGACTTAGATAGATAGATAGATAGATAGATAGATAGATAGATAGATAGATAGATAGATAGATAGATAATGTTTCTGTGTTGTGCCTCCCATTGATTCAACCAGACGGTTAGTTTAATTCCAAAAGTATGATAATATATGTTTAGTCTCTCGTTTCACAGTTAGTGTTGTCAGGATGTCATTAACTAGTATTTAAAGAAAACGTCCTAAATTTGTTATGTTTTATCTGTTTGTGGGGTGAATTCTTTCAAGTTAATTGTCTTTCCCTTAATATAACAAAAGAATGTTTTTTAAATGAACAAAGCTTATGTAAGAATTTATGTCCATTAAGTGCAATCACTCTCGAATTATTCATGTCATCACCAATTATTCCTCCAACAATGAATAAAAATACAGTATTTGTCATGTACATTAAGTACTTAGAACTTTGTATTTATTTTTAGATAGCCTGTGCTTTATTACAAAAAGACATTTTGCCTAAACTCATATTGTATGTCGATATGTTCCATTTATGTTGATATATTATCTTGCTTAAGACATGGCATATTTATGCTATATTCTGATTTCTTACTAATTCACTCCACATCAAAACCTGTTGGCTGGATGGGAACGCTACGAAAACAAAATTTAAAAAAAGTCTCTCTTTATACAAGTGTTCCGAACATTGCATCCGGATCACAAAACGAATCCGCCTAAAAGATAAAATTTTATTTAAACGTCGAGGACAATAAAGAATGTTGCCACTAAAGTAAAACCCTCTCTTGACTCTCGGTACAAGCTAGAACGCTAGGCTTTACCGACTCATCGATCCACCAGGTCGCATCCCTCGCCCACAAATTGACATTTCTCCTTGATGCATTATCAAAACAGAGAATTTTAAAACACATATACTCGTATTACGTACACTCTTGATTTACTTGTATCTTCATTACTAAATATAGTAAATATGGCAGAAGTTTTAAATTAAATATATATATTTTTTTTTTTTTTACTTTTTTCCACTGTGTCATTTATTAGAAAACAAAAGATTAATCTGACGTCATATATTTTCAGGTTTGGACGGAAAATAACTCTAGTTTCTTGTGTTCTTATTCAAGGAATCAGTTCCTTGACGAGTTCACAAATAACCAACATTTATTTATTTCTCTTCATCCGATTTTTATCGGCCGTCGGAGGAGCTGGAGGTTTTGGTGCGCTCCTTGTATATGGTAAGTAATTTCAAACATTTAATCCTATATACAGCTTCTAATAACGCTCACACACACAAACACACACATACACGCACATACACACACATATATATATATATTTATATATGAGAACATTTAGAGAGAAGTGAAGGAAATTTTAGAATGTAAATGTGTTAATTGTGCTTCTAAAATGTTTAAACTGAGATATGCACTGGAAGCATGTTTTTCCATTTTTTTAACGAGTAAACTGATCTCCATTAGAATGACAGAAAATATTATACTATAAAAACTTTTGGGAAGTTTGGCCCCCAATTTAAAAAAAATTAAATTAGGCAAAATGGTCGTGCGCTCTTTTTAAATTTATTTTATTTTTCCACAAACATCACACCGACTATATTTAGTTTAGAAATAATTATATGATGTCAGGCAAGGTATTATTATAAACCCTTCTCCGTCACAGCAGCTTCTATCTTTCGGTGGACTGCCACTCTTTTGACCTTGTGTCATTTTTAAACAAGCTTGTGTAAATATCTATTCCTACCTAAATCTGCATGGAAAGACAGAGATCTTTCATTGACCAAAATTATGAGAAATTAAGAAACAAAATTCGGATCAATATGTTGTAGAGCCCCTGTGTTCCGGAAGAATACATATGCTTAAAAGTATCCAGCATATCTCACAAACAGTGAATATTATACTGACCTGCGGATTCAGCTTTCCAGGATTTGGTACGTTAAGCTCATTATTGCCCCAGTTCACATTTGGATTTTGGGGGCCTATATCACCGAATCTAAAGATAATGAATCATCTCAATAATACTGAGTATTGAAGCTGCGAATCCCTCTCCACAGAGAGATGTACGTATCTGTTTTTCTAACGAACAATTCTATTCTGTATCTTTCAGTAACAGAAATTACATCCATGAAGTATCGATCCCGACCAGCACTGGCAATACAAATTGGGTTTCCTGTTGCTTTTGTTTTGATTTCTCTGATCGCGTACTTCATAAGAGTTTGGAGACTATTAATGATCGTCATCTCAGTACCATTAATACCATTGGCATTATTAACGATATGGTACGTATCTTATTATAAGTATTCATAATTTACAACCTTCATCAGCAAATTGAATTAAAAGTAAGGCATTAAGGAAGATTATATTGCATTCATTATAAAGCAACAAATTTAATTGCGTTTGTATTAACAAAAATTGTTTTATTTTCAGAAATATTGATAATAAATATGAAAAGCGGACTTGTTACGTTTAACTCATTTAGTTTATTCTTCTAAAACTTAGATCAGCATCTTTTTTATTAACTTGGATAAATATCAAAATATTTCGAAACGAAGTTATCCCAAAGAAACTTCATTAAATTATTTTTTCTTTCACATACAAACACACACACACACACATACGGAGCAGAGAGAGAGAGAGAGAGAGAGAGATATTATAAATGAAATCAATGAATCAGTCCAGAGAAAACAATATTTGCAGCACATCCTGCCACAAAGAATCAAAGATGCTGCATAATGTAAACGCGACAAAGAATTTAATTTAAAAACACTCAGATATATATAATGACATTTAGAAAAAAGTGGACGAAATTCTAGAATATCAATGTGTAAATTGTGCTAATCATTAATGGTGCACTCATAGATGAACTGAAGCCATTGAAATTGTAAGAATTGTAAGGCCAATGCGGGCGTATGGAAGAGACTTCCTATCACTTGACCTCCAGTAAAAATCCAACAATTACTCGTTGAGTACAAAA